AGGGTGTAAAGGTCTCAACGAAAGGAATTAATTTACTAACCATAGTCTTCCTCCTCGATCCCTTCTCGTGATCGGTTATCATTCCTTATATCTTAAGACTGAATTGTCAAAGGAAAGCTCCTACAAAGTGCGATTGGAACGTTTTGAAGAAATATAACCATTGGGCATGTAAATAAAATTTGATACATAGCCACTTGGAATAAAACCAAATTCAACGCCAGTTTCAAAATTTCGTTTTGCGCATGCGCACTACCAACTTTCTTATTTACGGAGGCATTTAAATGAAATTTGATACATAGCCAATAGGGAATATGCATGTGGTTTAAATTTACTTGATTCTTTCTCCAGCAAATATTTATTGTCGTGACATTATACTTAAACCATTAGTTTCTGATTTAGTTTGTTTTTAATTGCTAAAAATGTTAATTCAAAAGTGCAAAATAAGCGAACGAAATTCAAATTTGCGAAACGCTTCACTATTGGACGAATGAAAGTGACGTCAAATGCCACGCGATCGCATTTGTTGTCTCAATATTCAAGTATTATATCCCAAGTGCACGCCAAATACCTGAATATTAATACTCAGATCTGGTATTTGGCGTGCACGAGGGATATACGGGATGACTATTGCCCGACAAAAATTTTGCAAGATAAGAAGAATATAATGTTTGTTTCGATCCTTTCAAAGACATGGTTTTTCAAAAAGCATCATGAAACCGAAAATAAGCATGGGTTCAGTTACAAATTGCCATTTTACAAATTGTAATTTTCGTTAATACAATTTGGAATTATTTATGTAAGTTTCATTTTAGGTATTTACACATAAGCAATACCCGCGGGTATTGCACAAGTGCATAAATACTCGAGGATATTTGTCTGTTGCTAGGTGATTTCTGTAGTATGCATTAATATGATTGGTTGAAATTTTCTGAGGGCAATAGTCATAAGTACTTAGTGCAGTCAAATTACAGTTTGGGCAGATTGAGCTGGGTGTTGTCATTTCACTCAACGAAATCAAATGTCTTCTATGTAAAAACATCCGCTGTTATATTGTTATGTATAAACAAAAAACGATGAAAAAATGGCAAGATGTCGTTTCTTTTCGCATTTGACTTCAATTATCTCGTTAACTATTACTCTAAGGGAAAAAATGAAGAGAAATGAATTGGTTTAGAATTGAATTTTCTATAAGATACAATGGGTATGAAACGTTCATTTGCAAATGTTATTGTTTTTTATGGAAAAATATAAAAAAGCAATCCCGAACATGATCAATTGGTTATTACTAAGTAAAATTCATCCGATCTTTTTGAAAATCCGTATTTGGTCACTTCTTTTGATAACAAAACAATATGACAAACCCGATCACCGTAAATTTGATAGTTATTGCATAATTAAATAAACAAATTTACAAAACGATACTTGGTCTTTTAAACTGGGTGACTCCCAGAGCGTTCTACATTTGTTTACAGATGGTGGAATCCTAAGACAACCATTTCCAAAAATTGTCCCGATGATTCTTGCAAATTGATGGACTGTGGAATTTTTTTTAGTTAACTAACAAATTGAATAACTCCCGAAATATAACAAGGAAGGTAACTCTATAATAGGCCCTTGGCGTTCTGATTAATAAAAATCATACATTTTGGTAAAATAGAAGCATTAAAAAGCTCACCCTTTAAAGAATCGTTCGATGCGGCCCGATTTGCAAAATCATTTTTTGTTGTGTCGAAAACAAGTCCGAAGTCAAAAGCTGATTTCTCGTGAACTCGGATTTGGACGTATTTTTTTAATGTAGGTCTTTCGAGAGCTTTCCATTCGCCTACTATAGATTTACATTTCTTGGAAATTATTCCATTTGTTAACTAAGAAAATTCATCGGATTTTGAAACAAAATTGCATAGTCCGTCGATTTGCAAGAATCAACGGCACAATTGTTGAAAAAGGTTGTTTTAGGGTTCACTAACTGTAAAAAAATTGAGAACGCTCTGGGAGTCGTCCTTTTGGAACTGCAAAATACACTTTATCGGGAATATTTCTAATAGTGTTTTTGCACTTTTGTACAAGACAATACCTATAAAATGGTTTTTTCTATTTCGGTGTCACAATGATGATTTTGTACAACTCTGTTTTCGGCCGAAAACAGTTGCACAAAGACAGTGATTATACTTAGTCGTTTTTTTTGGTAACTCATCTCTTAAGTTGGCAGTTACTAGTTAGTACAAGTAGGTACTTCGTTGGGTACTTCCATGTTTGAACTTCAAAATGTCAGTCTTACTACGCTGCCAACCTAAAACTTAACGGCATGAAAAGTGTTCCCAACATAAAACATGTTAGTTCTAATGTTCCATATAGTTTCTGATAATGATTTTTTAAATTAAATTAAAGCACCGAAATAGAAAAAATAGTATGAAAAACGCGTGTTACAATGCTTTATTGTAATACTCCTATCTTGCGGACACTCGTGGCTACGCTTCGCGTCGCCACTCGTGCCACAAGATAGTCGTATTACAATAGGTCGCATTGTAACACTTGTCTTTCAATATACTATTTTAGCTTTTTCCATGGTCTGAATAGCTATTTACAACTGAAAATCTGTTTAAATAACTCAACACTAAAAGTAAACAAATACTGGTCGTGGCTTGTGACGTCATCCAAGGCCCGCTGAAAATGTGGCGGCGTTTAAACACATCGAATAAAGTCAACGTTTTAAATATTATTTTACAAGTTAAATTGAATTATTCTAACAGTGTCTACTCTTTTTACTATGTTAGAACGATGTAAAAAAGCGATTAAAAAATTAAAAAAATTACATGCATATTCCCTATTGGAATAAAAGGAAATGTAGCGCCATTTTCCAAATTTGGTTTTGTGTAGGATGTGCAGTGCCATTTTTTTTATTTATAGAAGAAATTTCGTAGGGGTGTTTAATAATACGCTTTACCTGCACAAGGGTTGTGCACAATTTGTACTTGTTTATACTTTTAGGGATACTGTTATAGAATTTAGGTGACCAATAGTGAGGGTTGTTTTGGGATTTGCTTGTCCTGTAGAACTTTGAACGTATCTCATCACATCCTCTAGTGTCGTAAGAGTGATAATCCCTATGTGTACTAAACAAGTGATAATTCTTTTTAATGTGCATTAAACATTTCCATTCCATTTATTGGGGTTTAACTGGATACACGAAACGAATTGGGGTTCAGCCGAGAGCGTATAGGATCATTTCTTTTGGACTATAGGTACCAGTTCCGATAAAGTGAAGGGCAACTTAATTTTGACCTTTGAATATTCTTACTCTACATGACATCGGAAAATAATAAACTTTCGTGGCAAACGTTTTTGTTTAAACTTATTATTTTTTGAAGACACTCTTCTATTTTTGGATTGAGCCATAGGAAGCTGTTCTGTCAAGAGTTTGGCTACTGGTTTTGTAGGCAGTCAGCAGCCTGTGTAAAAAGGTGACGCTTGCGGCCACGGGCCTTATTGTTTACTTTACCATATTATCTTTCTAATTGAACAATTATTGATCTGCGCTTCCACTTGAACCTGATACCATAATATAACACATATTATTATTATACTATGCTGATACCTACTAACCTACATCAAACTGGTCGATATAATTAGATTCGAAAGCCATTCTCTATCGACCACCGGCCGCGACGGGGAAGTTTCGAAATGATTATGCAAGCAACTTTGTCAAAAAGATTATCATTAAAAAATTTGCAATTTGCCGCTTCTCAATAGTATATTAAGATGCAAGTGTATAATCAAGTCTTTAAAGTACGCGCAACGAGTTAACGTTGCAAGTGCTTTTCCGTTGAAACAGATAATACATCGTCCATTAAATCGCTTGTTACCTAAAATCAAAACAAACGTTGGTAGGTGTAAAATCCAAATCCAGTAAAGCCTATTATAAAGAATATGAAAAGTTGTTTCCATGTATGAATAGGTAGTTACTTAAGAATAAAGTCTTAAAGCATCGATAATGCTGGTATATATGAAGGAAATGTCAAAGGTAGGTATTTAAATCTTCTATCTTTTGGTGCATTCATTCAAAACTTCAAACAATGCTGCGATTAAAAAATGGAACAGATTTGGAAGCATACTCTAAATTACGCTGCAACTAAAGGATAGGTACAAGCCAAAGAAATGTTCTGCATTTACAAAAAGCGACCTAAGAGGATTTTTTATTTCACCCAGATTCCCAGTTTCAAAGTCATACTTGAAGTATCATTACTTAGCCATACTTTAAAGCACGTAATAGTAAGGTAATAGTAATAGTAGTAGTAGTAATATTTATTCTTGTGATTATACATTGTGTATTTATAAACGTCATAAAAATAATAATTATGTACAAAAAGTTTAAAAAGTTTTTAGTCACCTATCTTTATATCACAGATGTCTGTATCACCGTCTACTATGTAATATGCTGTACCTACTTAGTAAAAAGTTTCTTACTAATTTCTTAAAAGTTTGAGGATTTTCTGTGCAGGTGATATGAAGATGATTATAAAGTTTGAAGCAAAGGTAATTTGAACGTGTGCTTTAAAGGCCTTTTTTCGCACGCGTTTGAGTGTTTAAAACGGAGATTTTGATTCAGGTACCTATAGTAAAAAAGTTTTTTCTGGGTGAAGTTCAAGTCGCGATTAGTCATCGATACATCACTCACGTGATAATCAGTCTTTAATCATAGTAATGTTGCAGTCAACCAAAACTAGAAAATATGAAATTATAGTTTGTTTTTCTTATTACCACTAGGCACTTATTATTATATTCATATATTTAAACATAAAAATCGTAAAAGTTTTTGTACCAATTAGAGAAAGCCATGGTCACGCCCCTTTATTAAGTTTCAACAAAATTAACAACCCTATCCGCTCGACATCGTCGCGATTTTGTCAATTTGTTACTTTGTACCTATGCCCGATGGGCTATATTTTTTTAAATTAAAAGATTAACAATTTTGAGAATTTATAAATTAGAGAACGAAGCGCATACGCAAAACACCTATACAAGGACGCTTATCTAATCACTTCTGCCAGAACAAATAGCAATAAATAGTGTAATGTGATACAGATACGACTAGTACGTCAGTGTTTGAGTGTTCGCTCATACGTCAAATTAAAATAAAACTCAAATCTCAAGAATGGCAGGTATGATTCCAATATTCTTTATCTTAGATTCAAGAGGGTGCATTATTTCTAGACGAATACGGTTTTAAATCAGAATTCACTTGCTCTTCCACCCCTACCGCCCCGTACTATCCACAACCTTCTTCTGAAGGATGTCCTTTACCACACCATATTTCACATACTTATCCAGAACCCACAAATTATTCGCCACCCCCTAATATGTACCCTGCTCCAATTTACCCCCGCGAAGAGAGCAGTCCAACTACTACTGGGCAAAGTGGTAAGAGAATTTCGATTTTTGTGCCATGAACTAACACCATTCTGAATAATTTAACCTACTTATCGGTCATATGACATCCATCATGCACAAATGTAAATTTGGGTCGTTATCATTTACGTGACTTGCACCTATAGGTTGGTAGGTAGGTACACGTTTACTTTTACATTTACACTTCTCGTTATCGTGTAGGTACACTTTTTGTGTACCTACTTATATATAAGTAAAATTATGGCGCAAACAACAATAGAACGATTAGATAGAAAAAGCTTGGAATGGTGGATAGGTAATTGCGCATAAATTTCATTGTTGAATATATAGGTATTGTTATATAGGTATAAACTGTAGGAATGTTATAAAATTAGTGGTCCGGTATATTTATGGCATATTACCACATTTACATACATAATCTGCTTACTGGGTTTATTGATAAAGGTTGCCGCACACTTGTCCGTAGCGTTCCGTCAAAAGACATTGAATTAGGTAAACGTCTTTGTGCACATTAGCTCGTTCCGTCACGTTACGTCACGACTCATAAGTGTCCCTTATCGCGAACCGTGGGCGACGTGACGGAACGGATAAATGTGCGGCAACCCTAACGAGAAATCACGGAATCTCCGCTCACTATGGAGGGTAATTACGCCTCCTATCAAAACTAATATAACTATTTATCTTTCATATATCTCTAAACCTAAAAGTTAAAGGACACGCATTGTGAATATTGCTAACGTGAACTTTCATTGCGCATACGTGAACGTAATGTTCCGTAAGTTATCTCCGGCGTATCGTGAGACCGTTTTCAAATAGTAAAGAATTTTTAATATTACAGCATACTATTGGCTCGACTGGAACGCTGATAGAATGGTTCCACCAACAGCAGTTCATGGTGGCGTCGATAAAGACGGCAGTCAAATTTACGTTGGGCGCGCTTACCATGAAGGTGATTGGATTCCCGCCAAAGTAATTCCTGAACGACACACTGCATATGTGGCGTACGGTGGTTGCGAACACGTCAAAAATAACTTTCAAGTATGCCTAACTAGATATTATATAAAATGTTATTAATGATCTATTTTAGTTGCTTTGTGAACAACGATTTGATTGGGTTCCAACATCCGCTGGAAATATTCCTCCGGGTGCAGTAGAAGGTGGTCGCACCGAATCCGGAGAGCCTCTGTATATTGGGAGAGTATGGCATGATGGAGCTCATACCGTAGGAAAGGTACCTGAAATTTTATATTTTCCATTGATTTTCTGAATAAACTGTATTTTTCTAGGTTCACTCCAGCCACGGTTGTTGTTATATTCCCTACGATAGTCAAGAAATGACCTTCTGCGATTATGAAATTTTGGTGTTGCGGATGTAAGGGTCTACAATATATTACTTTCGACGTGTGCTAATATTTTGTACTGTAAATAAATCTGTGATTATCTGAATTTTGATATTTTGAATTGCTCAGATCTACATTTTCAGTTTTCGCTAGACCAGTATTCTCAAAATGTAATAAACAAGTTGCCCATACCTACGAGGGTGGGTCAAAAAATTTTCGGTCTTTAAAGAAAACCATCGAGAGTATAGTATTATAATTTGATTTATCTACATACCTAATCTCTCTGAAATTCAATGATCTTCTAAAAGCGTTCCTTACCATGAGACAAGTTGGAAGATAAGCTTAGACCTAATGCTAATGCACTGAGAAAAATGGTTTAAATGAACAGATTATTTAAACTGTTTGTAACAGAAACAATGACTTATTTGACTGATAATAATTAAAGACGTTCTTAATTATAAAAGAAAATGTTATAAATCCTAATAAATATTTCATTATCATACATTTTTCGAATATTTAAGTTAATATTTATTCAATTTTAATAAATGATTTAACTACCTACTTACTTATAGGAAATATTGTCTTTAATAAACTTTATTAACAATAGGTATATTTTTTATGTACTTCTAGTACGTAGTGTCCGACAGTAAATCGCGCGAGTTTTCTTGCTAGTGTAAAGGTCCCTTTAGATAAGCAAGAAAACTCACGCGATTTAGGGTGGAATTCATAGATATTACCTAAGTTAGACTTATGGCCGTTTGCACCGACAAATTTAAGCGCTAGCTTAGCTTAAGCGCACGGGATGAGCCAAACTATGGACGCTTAAGGCATGTCACACAGCCGCAGTTGGCTTGATCTAAAAAGGTTTACATTACAAATAAGTAACTAACGTTAATTAACTTACTATAAAATTAGGGAGCAAAAGTAAAACGATTGTCACACCGTTTTACTTTTGCTCCCTAATTTTATAGTATGTTAATTGATGTTAGTTGGTGGCATGGTGGCGTGCTTACACTTGTTAGAAGCAGCATCCCAAGTAGAGAAGTTGCAAATCGGAACTACAGAAAATTTATAGTAACAGAAACGATCGAGTCGGAAACATGCAGAAAGTGCCATCAAACCACCAAAAATATTGACCATATAACTGGAAGCTGTAAATTACTAGCCGGCACAGACTATACTGAAAGACATAATGTAGCCGTTGCCGTTAAGATCATACATCAAGAACTTGTCCATAAACATAACCTGATCCAGACACAGCACAATGTACATAGGTTTTTGCATATACATATTATAAAAGGGCGTTTCATACTGTAGGGAAGTAGTTAAATGTAGTATCTGTTAACCCAACAGATGCAGTTAAGCCACTCCCAATAAATGTTGGCCAATGTAATAAGAGACCCGTTTCACAGCCACAATAGTATATTATATACCGCGGGACTGAAGTAGTACTTTTAATCCCGAAGGTAAAGTTTATGGCCCGACCGAAGGGAGGACCATAATTTACCTGAGGCATTAAGACCACTACTTCAGTCGCAAGGTATATACGATATTTTTCGTACTTCCGAAACTGAAACACTTAATCTGTATGGGGTTAAAGGTGCCATTCACATGCGGATATGTACGGCGGATCTGTACGGCGGACATGTACGTGGGACAGATCCGTATCAATTCGTATGTGTGTATCCGCATGTTCGGCGTACATATCTTGCTCGCCATCCGTCGATCAGGACGACGAGCACGGACAGCGAGCCCGACAAACACGCACGTGTGTAGTCGTTTCACGGATTTGTTTGTCGGACACAAAATCACAAATTAGGAACTTCTTGAAAATATGTTTGGAAATTTAAGAAATCAAAATGGAAATGCGACTAATCCTACTCCAATTAGGTAAACTGTCATTTAAAAAAATATTTTGTTTAAATTACTTTGAAATGCAGGCGCAAATTGTGCTAAAGATTTGAGTGATCTTTTGGGTAACTGTTTAATCTCAGTATGAGATCAAGATAGTTTTGGGGTAGACTGTAAGGCGGCTTTATATCTATGCATAATAATGATGTCTTAATACCTACTTATATTACATGAATTACTTAATTAATATTGTTTAATTCTAGATTAATCCCAGATTAATCTGTGATTGAACAGTAACTTTACAAGTAATATTGCGGAACAACGTGGAACTGATGGTGAAACTGTTAGTCAAATACAATCCGGTCAGTTACCTTTTTGTGATATTTTAAAAGTGAAATTTGAAGACTACGGTGATATTAACATTCCATATCAAAATGCGCATTTTTGGGGAACAATTTAAATACTGGTAAAGATTGTAGTGCTTACTCCATCAACCAAGTACACCTAACTACTAATGAAATAATTTTATGCCATTTCCGAGCATATTCTGCCAAGGCAGGTGGCTTATTTGAAAGTTTCAGATATAATTTTCCCAAGAAGCTGTGGGGAGATTGAACAACTGAATTTTATGTCTTCAAAATTCCTTCAAGTTGCTAAGTACCTACTGTAGCGTGGCAATTAATCGCTCTCTATTGGCACAGATAAAAATACCCAATTTATCTGTGCTACTGGTAACTGCCTCATATGCGTATCATTCCTCTCAATAATTGGGCGAACGTCTCATTGTCCATGCGCAAAAAATTGTGCAAATCATGAGGCGTTTCCAAATCTGTAAGTAAAGTCATATGAGAGTACTTTTTCGATTCAAGAACCACTGTTTTGACCACAGTCTCTTTTGTTTCCTATCTTCAAATAAAACTATATATCCTGCAATTATTGTCAGTTTCTTCTTATGATCCATAGCAATTACCACAGCACTCAAAACCACACAACCCAGGGGCTAGCACTACCGAACTGAAATAGTGAGAGAACGCCGCCGCCTGCTCGTCTATTAAGATTTGTCCGTGATCTGTGTATACATGTACAGACATATCCGCTTGTGTGTAGTTCAAGGCGGATCTGTCCGCCGTACAGATTCGCCGTACATATCCGCATGTGAATGGGGCCCTTTTTAGAGAACGCGTTCTTTCAAAAAATCGCCGTTTAACAAGTTACCATAGGAACGTTGCGTTGGTACGACAATCCCTATGCTATGGTAACAAAAATAATTTGGAAACTGTCATTGCTAGTGTCATAAATTTGGTGGTGGGTGACAAAGGTGTTTTTCATTTTGATAAACAGCAGCCAAACTAGGTAAAGAATTGATACCACCTAAATCCAAAAAATTATATGAGGAGCAGTACCATACGTTTAAGAAGTAGTGCCGCATACAAAATGTGGAACAACCTATTGAAATTGCCTTGTTAGTAATTTCATCCTTCCGGGATTTTCGTCCAAATTTAATCCCGGCGGGACAAAAAGTGACACTTCAGTACTTGTCATAACGGAGTGAAGTTGTCACTTTAGTCTCGGAAGTACGAAAAATTACAAAATCCGAGAAATTTAAAAATCGCATGTCACAATAGGCGCTTTCTTTCGGCTACTTCGCAATCATGATTTCGAGATCGTGATTCCTAGGATCACGTTTTACGAAAGAACGCGCGAATTTAAATCAAAGTATGGTTAAGTTTACGTAGTGCATTCGAATTATGTATTTTTTGTTTGGATTATAAAAATAATTTAAATACAAGTGGAAGTACTTGCACAATTATGCCCCTCTTCAGTTACAAATATTGACTAATCTCACTAATCGAACATTTGAACAAAAATATCCTTGCATTTATAGGTTAGGAATTCGTGATCATAAAACTTTTATTTTTCATTTGCCTATTATATGTCAATTATATCTGTCATATGAGATATATAAAGCAGTCTATGACGCCCGAGGGCATAATGAGAGGGCATAATGAGATGACAATCCATTATGCCCTCTCATTATGCCCTCAAACTGCCTGTCAAATATATTGACGGAGTTATGTAATAAAAAAAGACTTGATTCGTATGAAGCACTAACAATAATCATTACATTTGTATATTGGAAATGCATTATTTGGAACGATGAAAAATAAAACGTTGTATGCACCTCAGGCATTACTGGATATTTAACCCTCGGGCGACTTACAATCCCTCGGGCCAGAGGCCCTCGGGCTCTGTCGCCCTCGGCATAAATATCGCCTTAATGCCCTTGATACATAAATAACTATTATGTTCAGTTTGTTCACGATTTTAGCAATCATGAATCATGATTATAAGATCACACTTCGAAAGAACGTGATTTGACAATCCAAACGCGTTTGGATCACCGAAAGAAAGCGCCTATTGACATGACTAAGTTACAGACCGTCATGTTTTGAATATTGACCTTTCAGCACACAGCATCAGGAGTTTAAAATTATTTGATTTGTAAAAATCACATGTGAAGGTACGAGAGACTGCAAATTATTGCAGTGAAGAAAAAGTTGATCGCACATTGGGAATTGAAATGTGGACTGCCATATAAACGAAAATTCGTTACAACTTATGAAGTCGCGAATTGGCCGAAATAGTATATTTCATTAGGAGTCCGGAAAGCAGGCTTTTTCCGTGCGCGCGTGGCAAATTCCCGTGCGAGGCGTAGCCGAACACGGGAAGTCATGCAAGCACGGAAAAAGCATTTCTGGACGTGTAATGAACGATGTTTTTTATTATACTTCTTTTAAATCGATAACAAAAAACAACAAACTCGCTAACATTTTTATTTTGTGACAGTTATAGAAAATGCGTTGTCATGGTTACTCTCAAATCATTTCAAAGGCTATTTGTTTAATTAGTTTATTTCAGACATTGAACTATATAGGTACTCTGTAACTGGAACGGCATCGCCCGTAATCAGCCGTTACCAGGGGCCGTGGCGAATTTTTGTGAGAGCGAGATGGGTAGAGGTAGGTATCCCTTACCTTGTTCCACTCATGTGGGCTTATGGGATGGTTTATACTACGTCTTACATTTTGCTTATTTTTGTCTAAAATAAGTTATTAAGAGATTTGCAAGAATGGTCATGAATTATGTTGCATATACCTACGTGCAATCATTTTTATAATAAAAATTCAAATATTCAATTTCATGGGTACGTTTTGATAACATTTTTCAACCTCGACGCGCGCATTTAATATTTTT